GTAAAGATTGAAATTTTATGTTGACAAGATTAGAATGTGGAAACATTTTCTTGTCAGAAATTATGGGGAAGAGTGTTATAGAATTGTCATAAAATCACATGTATCTTATGTGTTTACTTCAATAAAAGGTTGGATTATTATCATATTTATCTTTTGTAAAAATAAGTAAGAAAAAACATGAGGAATTAATTTTATATGGGTGAGGTTTTCAATGCAATCATGGTTGAGATGAAAAAGTTAAAAAAAGTGATAATAGATGTACACACAAAGCAACAAGCTATGAAAATTAAAAATTTCACATTAGAAAGTGAACATAAGAGTCAGAGAGATGTAAGTTGAGTATTTTGTTCAAGCTTCTCAAGTTCAAACGAGATCAATAGTCATGTATGTGACTAGAAAAAATAGTTAACATCTTCAATAGATTGATGAAATCAAAACATTTTTTTGCTATAAATAAAAAAATCATGTAAGGTGAAAGCTTAGAAGAGGACTAAAGCAATGAAATTTTTAGAATGTTGGATCATGAAAATGGATATTTATTAATACTAATTTTATTTTTATCAATTCTATTGCAAGAAGATTCATGAAATGTTTTCTTACGTATAGGATTACTACATGTTATAGTTTATATGAACAAATGCTTTGAAAACAAGATGCTTCAATATTATGAAGTGAAATGCACAAGGAACTTATTCAAAATACATTAACTATAAGGTTAAAATTGTGGAATTTGAAGCAAAAAAAGAATTATCCATGTATACATTAAAAAATTTAGAAATCTTCAAATATCCATCATAGATATGATTGGAACAATAACCTCAGATGTGTTCAAACATGGCTTGAAAGATTAAATTTGGAAAAAGATGATGATTAGTAACCCATTCATAGTGAATGAAACAATCCCAATTGTCCAAGAAATTTTAAGTGCTAATGGAGTCACACATGGTGAAACATCAAACACTTTTTGAGATCCATCTGATCAAACGTCAATAAAGTTGTAAAACCTTTGAAATAAAGAAGATTTTGCACTAGCACGAACTACTGTATCAAAATTTGGATTTGAGATTTGACGATCAATCATTCTAAATTTGCAAGAAAGATATGCAAATAATGAAATGATTCAAAGATGAGCGAGATTTCGTGATAGTTATCAATGTTATGCATGCAAAAAAAATCACTAACATTGCCAAATTTTGATTAGTATCACAAAGAAGAAGGCCAATGCAACGACGATTTGTCAACAACATGCAAGGCGTAGAATACAAAGTGATGAAGTAGGTTCAAGAAACAAAGATCATCAAAAAAAACTTGTCTTGCAATGATTGCATAAAACAAAGAAAAAACAGGGTTAAAAAAGATAATGGTTGAAAAGAAATGGAAGAAACAAGAAACATGTATAATTGATTGTTATAAATGATATGATGAAAAGAAACAAGACGAGAATTTTGATTGATTTTGGATCAATGATTAATTTTTTTTCATGAAGTGTTGCAATAAAGATAGATTTGATGTTGATGAAAAATGTAACTGAAAAAGCTAAAGTGCCAAACGGACCAATCAAAATAATACAGACATTGCCGCAGAGTTAAGAGTTATTCATAAGTAGATACAAATGGAGCATTGTATAGAATGTAACTTGCTTAGATTGATATGATATCATAGTAGAAATGTTATGGATGATAATTTTTTTGTTAGAAATGATAATTTGAAGTTAGATTGGAGAAAAAAAGTGATAACAAATAATGATGGAAAAATTAATGGAAATACCAGTAGATTTAAGAATAGAAATTTAACTCTCTTTGTGATGGATGAAGCATTCATTTTCAAAGATGATGTATGTTTCATGAAACTTATAAAACATATTGGGTCCATAGACATTCTCAAATACTTGAATAACAATTTTATGAAATTCAAAGATGTTTATCAAAACAATGTACCTACAAGTTTACCACCAAAGAGATGTGTAGATCACAAGATTGAGGTTTTCAAGTAAGACATCAATCACATCAATTTGTAAAGTTTTATATTGTTTGGCTTCAAACAAATTAGAAAAATGCAAAGTTCAATTGGAGCAAATGTTAAATAAAGTATTGAATCAACAAAGTGTTTCACTTTATGAAACTCTATCGCTATTTGTGAAGAATAAAAGTGAATTCATGAAACTATGCATGCACTACCGTGAATCTGTAAGAACAATTTTTGTATGTGTGAATTAGGATTAGAAATAATCAAAAAGATGATCATGATTAGCTTGGATTTAAGTAAATCTAGGTAGTTATGATTATATTTAGTTCTAATTCTATACTTGGCGGAATAACTATTGGATTTTTAGAAGGTTTGAGTCAATTATTTTGATCTCAGTCAAAGTCTAGATTTCAAGTGTGAAAGTCTTTGATTACATAATTGGGTTTGATTGATTTGACTAAGTAATGAATAATTTATTGGTTAGAATAAGTCTAATGTTGACTGAATTACAAGTAGAGTTTTTAGAAGTTTGAAAAGCTCAAATGACATGTCATCACATTAATATAGGGATTAAAAAACATCTAGAAGGTTTAGGAGTCCGATAGCATATTTGCATGTATTGGGAACAAGTCAAATTTACTATGATTTATCTTTGTAAACTAAGTTAGATATGAACAACCAATTTTTATTATGGTATATATATAGAGAGATATGAAATAGTTTCTCAAACAAGTTTGGAGAGTTCATGTGTAGAGACTTGTTTCATCAATGAAAAAGTGACGTTTTTAGCACATTGAAGTGTTGATGTGAGTGTGAACTTGAGTGATGAATGAAGAGAATGCATGAGAGGTTGTTTCGATTATGAGTATGAAGAGTAACCCTAGCTTTCTAGAACCATGATGAGCTAATGCCCAATCACATGAGGTAAATTTGAATAAGAGTCACTCCAGAGGTTGTCGAACCACATGTTAGCAATCCATGTGCTTATTAGATATATCCTACATGTCAACTATTCACTAGAATTGAATTAGATGATGAAGAGTAAAACTTCTTTTTGTGTACATGTTTGAGAATTTTATGTAAAGAAGAGTAAAATCATTTTAGGTATTTGATTAATCTCTTTAGAATTTATATATCACCTTCAAATAGGATTCTTTCTTAAATCCTGGTATTATAATCTACTTCCAGTTGTAGAGTTTGCATATAACAATACATTTCAAGACTCAATTCATCAAATTTTGTTTTTGGCAAATTATAAATATCATCCATGATTTGATTCTTTGAAGTTGATTTTGACAAAGAATGTGACTGTAGAACATGTGATCACAAGACTTTTGAAGATTCACAAAGACATGAATGCAATGCTTGTAGAAGCTCCAGAGTGGCAAGAGAAAAATGAAGACAAATCTTAAAAGTAAAATTTGAACATCTTGGTAATAAAGTTTGACTTTTGAGTTGCAATTTAAAGATTTGATGATTAAACAACAAACTTGACTATTGTTGTTTTGGATCTTTTTGCATGATAAGTAGATCAATGAGGTAACATACAAATCGAACTTGCCATCATCTATAAAATTCATCCAGTGTTTCATATTTCCTTGCTTGAATTATATAGAGAGTCTCCTATTTCGGGATGGTCAACTGCAACTCCGCCATCAATCGAGATTAATGCAAAATAAAAGTTTGAAGATAAGATTTGAAAATATTATCATCAATTCCTACATCAATGAAGTAAATGAATATACTTTGTAATCTGCTACTAGTCTTGCTAACGTTGTGAAAATGATCAAAAAATTTCATTATCAAAACTCGACAAAATTGAATACCAAATAATATTTGAATCCAACATGTCTAAAAACAACACAACCACCACCAAATAAAGCTGTAAGTATGTGACTATCATATGGATTTATTGTAATGGACTTGTTAAATGTTGTTTTTTGTAAGATAAATAAAACAATGAGTTGCTTGAAGGGAGTAAAATGTGACGGATGTTACATGTGCGGAGAAGTTACCAATTTTGGAAACGATGCCAATTTTCTAACTTTAAAGTATGTAGTAGTATACTAACAATATATGTAGAGAATTTTGAAACATTATACCTCCTTCTTGTCAATACCAATAGTACTTAAGTTTTGAATATCAATATTATCTTCTATTTCTACCTTCGAGTGTTATTAATTCTTATTTTAAAACTTCTAATGCTATTCTGTGTGAATTGTCCTCCTCAATAACTATGTGAATATAAAGTTTATAATGAATTAAACTAATGTTATGTTGATTACTTAGACATCCATATTACAATGAATTAGTTTGAATTGAGATTGAATTCAATTGCTTTCACACTTTTCTCCAGATTGTTGTTTTAAACTGAAATCTTTCGTGTGAACTAAATGTTACATATGACTTGAATGATACATAACAACTCTCTTGTATTTGTTAATGAAGTGATAGTTGTTTTATAAATCAAGTAATTTGTAATTTTGGAGTACGATGTAGTTTATGTAAACTTAAGTTTGCGAAGATAATTATGATATGTTTTTTTGTCTGACTTTTTCTAATACAATCGTAAGAATAATAATATTCATAGACTCGAAGACATGAGTTGAAGGAAGATGGTTAGCATTCACTTTAGGGTGTATCGTTTACTTTAAAAATTAGATTTATTTAATAATTGAAGGACAAACGGGTACTGTTTGCAGGCATACATGGTGAATGATTGGTATATTATTAGCGGAGGTTGTAGAAATCTTGGTGCTTCTGTGTGCCTCGCGACAACATTGTGACCACATCCCTGTGCTTAAAATGACCCCGTGTTAGGTTGATAGTGAACTAGATCCTTGCAGTTGTGGTCTACGTCCTCCGCTAGAACATAGCAGAAGACATGCTGCAAGTTCCACCTTGGACGAATGGCGTTAGCTGACGTCTCCACTTCGTGCATGACTTGACGAACGACATGGGTTCAACTCGATGTCCCGAGTCGAAAAAAAAAACCAGTTCCCGACATGAAAACACCTACAATTGATCATTCACGTGAAAGCCCTCTAAACGTAGGGAACAGGTTTTATCTTTATTCCCTTCTCATTCAATGCTCCTACCTTTCAAGTTAAAAGGTGATCTGCACCAACGTTTCACTTGGATTACATCGGAGTTTTCTCGGCGAGCGTCAGAATTCATCCACGTGTCCTCCCGACCCATGCCCGACCCGGGGTCCAGCTAGTTCATCTAGTCTATCATTCAGGATGAGCATATAATGAACCCCAACTTCCAGCATAACATTGCTCTTTGACCCAAGAAGGAAACCGACCTTGTGCGAGCGCTAATAGTCCTTCCAGATAACACTAGTTGACACTCAGTGTCCTGTCTAATTACATTCGTTCATTCCTATGTGCAAAAAATCAAATGGATTTTGTCTCGCTATAGAAAAGTGTAGATCCTGATATAAGTTAGAAATCATGGGAACGATCGTTGGCTATACACTGGAGGCTAACCCATTTTCTTTTTGGACCTGGGTCTCGACCAGTTGGATTGCTTCCTCCCTCTGTCGAGGTTCAAGTATATCCTCATCTGGGTCTGTATCAGGGAGTAAGAATACGAGGCATATAGGAACTAGTCTGAGTACATTTCTAATCACGACAGCTAACCAGAGATACTGAAAGTCAGTGCGGGTTACATTCGTTAGTTTTAAAAGGAGAGCTCCTGTCCATGTTGATGTCATCATACCCACATTGTCAACAGACATCAATAAAGAAAAAAAGGTGCCCTCGATACCCGGGGGGCACAATTTGGCTGCTAGGATCAACAGTGGCATCCACTTCAGACGATTTATGGCTTGAGTCAACCCCTCATCACCGATGACGAAATAATGATCAGGGATGCCCAACTGACGATTCAACCGTGTAACAAGAATGAAGTCCAGCATACCAAACACGGCCACCAAAAATTGTATCCAAAACAAGAGCTTACGAAAGGACACTTTTTTTAACCTCTTGTGATAGATGTATACAGCCAGAAGGGTACCGACAGATCCCGTCGCATAAATGGCACCAACAAACTCCTGTAGAAAGTGCATAAAAAAATGAGGACTACGTTGTGAATTACCTCTGAGTAGTATTCGGTTGAAATTTAGCAAAGGAAAGTGACAGCACCCTTCACATAACTTGCTCTGGTAGAAATCTTAAGTACTTTGACGTAAGGACGGGCAAAAACGTTACAACAATAAACTTGTCAAACCACTTGGACCAACATACCTTGGCAAATCCAGGACCACTTTGAACGTCTGTATACCAGAAAAATTTTCCTTCGGAAATATCAGGAGACACTGCAAGAGCTAGGTACATATAGAGTGTTGGCCGCCACACTTTCGGATGCTTCAATGTAATCCACAACTCCTCCGTTACAATCCATAGTTGCTTACTCAGCTGCACAGAGCAAGAGTGTCAACAAGATCTGCAAGAGGAAGAAACACCGGAAAGAAGAGAAGAGGAAGTTCCCGTGTACTTCCACATCACCAAAATAAGGGCCTCTTGAGTCATTTCACAAAGTCGGATTCAAGTCAAGCTCAACAGGGTCTTCTTTCACCGCTGATTTTCCAAGCCCGTTCCCTTGGGTGTGGTTTCGCTAGATAGTGGATAGGGACAGTGGGAATCTCGTTAATCCATTCATGCGCGTCACGAGTTAGATAACGAGGGCAGGGAACTGGTCGGGGGGCGGGGACGGGGTAGTCCGAGAGGGTGCGCGGACGCACATAACGATGGTCGACGTATGTCATAAATTGTGAGCTAAATTGTCATACAAAACTTGGATCCAACTGGCGACTTGCATGCAAGATTCACTAATCAAAACTACTTACCAGCACTGAGATATCAAAGCAGAATTGTCGTACCTGTGTATTATGCCATTTCTGAACGACTCGTTCTTCATGTAAGACAAAACCGAGGACGAGTAAGAGGACGGCTGGAATCAACATTAAGCCCAGTGCTCCCTGCGAGAAACAGGCAGCCCAATAAACGCCCTTCTCTTTCTCTTAAATCATCAGGGATGCATGTAAAATCCTGTCTCCTATGAGCTCGATAGCCTTCTCACCACAACCTTGCTTCATCCTGATCTCATAGCCATTCCACCCTGCAACAGCCAGTAGAATGAGCGGTTCACTGCCAGGACATATGCCCATCGATAGAGAGCTAACTTGGAGAGTTGCTTGTGGGCAATAGCTCCAAATTGGACTGACTCGTTCAGAACTACAGTACCTAAACTTCCGGAAGAGGTCAACTGAAAGGTAATAACCCTGAACGTTGCGAACCGATGTTCAGCGCTGGTTGAGGTTTTGAATCAAACCCCAGGGAAGACAACCGAAACGGCAACAAATATGACAGCACAGGCATGTTCAGAAATAAACCTGAGACCCAAGCTTGTCCACAGCTAGTCCACTGACAGAATATCCCAGCAACGATCCCACAGATAGGGAAATTGCACACAGACTTTGGACATCCGCTGCTAAGCTTGGTTTCTCACGACTCTTTGTTGCGACTTCCGCATCTATTGTGGCATCCGACATTGCTGCGCAAGCTGCAAGGACCATAAGCATGCCTACGGCGAAAGGTACCCAAAGCTGGCCGCCCATTACTAGTACCAATGTCGCCACAGCACTGAGCAGACCTGCGTATCGGATCCAGACACCAGCCAGTGGTATTAACATCAGACCGAAGGACATCGGACATCAAAACCGTCCTACCTGACCAGCAATCTCAACAGATTCTGATAACGAATACGCAATCCAGACGCAAATCACGACTTAATTAGGTGATGGAGACAAGTTTCGTGGGCCCGATAGACTGGCCAAAATCTCATGTCAGTTCTAGTGCAGTCGGTCGAGATTCCACAAACACAAGTAGGATTCCTATGTTAAAGGTTTGACCTGACCTGTGATAACAAAGTACGGCCTCCGGTAGTAGCCTCCAATGGGAAGTATGTCAGTCATCAAACCCCAAAGAGGCTTCACTTCCCAGGGAATGGTTGTCATTCCTCGATAGAGCTGGACGCTGGATGGCTGCGCAAGTTGCACGTCTTTCCAGTAATAATCGACCACCACTTTGTTTAAGGCGCCTCCGACTCCTTGTCCAAACCCATAAATCACCATAATCCCGAAAACGAAGCTCACATTCAGCTCCCTGTTGAGCATCACTATCCATGACACACGTTGGCCCATCCATGACACCACAACCCCTGGGTATTTCCTGCCTCTGCTTTCTCCGTCAGATGCAGCGACTTGAGTTTCGGAACAAGAAATTGCCTCTGGGAACAACAAAAACGATAAATCAGAAACCCAACGATCTCCTCACACTCGATCTCATTTGGATTGCTGTAAGGTATGGGCTTCCCTCACGTCTAATTCACGCGTGGAACCAGAAGAGAGCAATTCATTACGTATACAATACAACTAACCTTTGGGGTCCAGCAGTTCTCTACCACTGTCACATTCGATCTGCTTGGAAGTCGAGTGCAGCCCGACAGGCTCCGACTGGGGAGGAAAAGACGCAGACGGGGTACCACCATCATCTAAGTCCACGCGAGCAAGAGAGATAAGCTGTGGTGGTCTTCCATTCTCATCCCCCTCTTCTAACTCTCGATGCTGAACCAGGCGGTGAAATTTGGGAGAGCTACTTCTCATGCCGAAGCCAGACGATTGATGTGAAGCTAATAGATGGGAGCACTAGCACCGCATTTGAGCGACAGATAAGGCGACAGGGTGGCGCACTTCGTGAACAAATCGAGCCAGGAGGCCACTCGCGCCACAGTTCCGAGCTCTAGATACTACAGAAGCGGAAAGAAGCCAATCGGAGGAAGGCAATAGGCCCGAGTCGTCCCCTAGATCGGCAACCTGTAACTAGGGCCTGACGATCAGAACGGTCCACGACAACTCGTCAAAAGGAGGAAAAGAATGTTACTCGAATGATCTAAAACTGCTTGTCTCGGCTCCAAAGTCCGATGGCCCGTCGGAAAAAGAAGCGCACGGAAGGGGAGGCCAAGAGGCGAGAAGAATGGCGAGTGGCGAGTGGCGAGCGAGAGTGGCGAGCGAGAGCTAGAAGCAAATCGCAAGGCATTCGAGAAAGTCCTCGGGTGTTGGACGCAGAGACCAGTGCGGAAAGAAGCGACGAGAAGGCGGAGGTCCAGACGACGACAGCAAGCAAGATCCAGGCCCGGGGCTGCAGAGAGGGATAATAGAGAGAGTGACAGATCTCTATCGAGCCAGAAGCACCACTCCGCTCCAGATCGACAGGCGATTCGGACGCTATCCCGCTCAATCTCTTACCGCCGGCCACAGAAATTACATAACTTGAAACCTACGCCCGCCCGCTCCCTCCACACGCTGTCGGCGCAGGACACGACGATCGCATACTGTTGTGCAGCAGGCGACTCATCATCCACCAGCCCTCGCTCCGTTCCGTTCCCTCATCAGGCAAAAGCGAAAGCGAGAGCAGATCGACTGCGTCAATCGAATTCACTCGGCTCGTGCTCCGCCTGCTGCTGCTGCTGCTGCTGCTCCTCGTCCTCCTCGTCCTCCTGCTCGTCGCCACTCCACACACTCGACGCAACATAATGCGCTATGCAAAGCGACGCATCGCCATCGCCATCGCCGTTGCCGCTGCCACTGGCACCGAGGAATATTTTTCTATTTTGTCGCCCTCGGCTCTTTCAAATCGCCCCAGCGTGATTAGGCGCCTAATCTAATCCTCCGCGCGCGCGCTTAATCGTCGCTTAATCTCCGCTCTAACTAAGTTTACCTCCTGCACGCGCCTCGTCTCTCGCCTCCTCGCTCCGGTCCGGGTCGCCCCGGCCTTCCGTTTCCGGCTGGCGGTCCGTCCGCCCTCCCGCCCTTCGGACAGGCGATGCCCGGATCCCGCAAAACAATCTTTCCAGGCCACCTGTCCATTCCGATCGGCACGTGGGCGGGAGAGGTGCCCGCGATCTTTTGGGTTCGCCGGCCGGTCCCATCCCGGGGATTCGTGGAGGCCGGCGGCGAATCTCGGAGAACGGGGGATTCGCTCTTCGTTCCTTCGCCTCGTACTTCGGATGTGTGTCCTTTCCCGACAGCTGTCCGCCTCTCAGGCTGCCGTCCGTGATCGTTCCCGGTCTCCGGGGGCCGGTGGTACTGTAATCCTCTTTTGTGTGTTCTAATATCGGGCCGGAACGTATGCAGTCGACTCTCTGGTGCCAAAAGCAACGACTCTGTCGCCAAGGCTCTCGCTTTTTGCTCGTGGGGGTTTTGCAATTATCCAAATCCTCTGGAAGTGGAATTGACCCATGCCTCTCTAGAACCTCTCGGATTGCACCGAGACATAACCATTGCACTTACAGAAGGTCAGCTGTGTGGACATGTTGAGGATCCACGAATCATTCACACGTGCCAATTAATGCGCTTGAGCGCCAGCAAGTTGTCTCTGGTGAGCACTGGGAGTGAAGGGGAAGTAAGTTGGAGGATTGAAAAGAGTGCAATTTGCAGTTAGCCCGTGTGCTTCCCCCACAGTAACGGCCCAGGCTTGCACTTTTGGGAAAATTTGGAAAGTAAACAGCATGTTATCAGAGGGACTCACAATTCGAAGAAATTGCAACAATTATGTGGTTGATGAAAATTGTACAGTTTCTTTATTTCTGAAGTTTGCCTTTACCTTCTCGATAGACTTGAATGACTTGGTGTTTACATTGTATATTCACGTTCTGTCGAGGCATGTGTGGTCACACCTCCCTTCGTTCAGGATGCCCTACATATTTGTTTCCTACACCATCCTTGCGATAAGCGAGCAGCACTTTTGTAATTTCTTTTTGGCTGCCTGAGCAATGACATTCATATATTTGGCCAGTTAAAAGTCTGGATATTGTTAAGAAGATTGAGATATGTCACCTCGTACAAATTTCGAGACTTTCTCGGATTCCTCTCGACTTCGTACAATTTTGGAACATGTTGATAGGCTGGTAAAGTCTTTTCGGCATTGCAGATTATATAGCGTTCCTTTTTGTGCATCTCTCCCACTATTGATTTCATGCCGTATACTGGACGCAATATTTGGCGCTTCGGAGCTGAACAACACTGCATACCTGTTAATGGAGGAATCGTTGAAGGCTGTAGTTTGATTCTTCGGACGACATGAAGCAAATTCATAACACATTCAGTCCATTTTCTGGGATCTAAAGGAGTATCATTGGCCTGGAGCGAAAAGAGGAAAGAAGATCTAGGTTTATATTTTGAGAATTGTTAAATACACCACGTTTTTACTAAATACACCACACACCTATTTTATTCGTCACACCTCTCTAACAATTAAATCTCAATGAAAATTGAAGACATGGCCTAATGTTTCCCATACAATTGGCTCCTCCTCTCTTCAGTTTTGAGTGTTTCATACACAACTTCTATTATCCAGTTGTGTGAGTTCTTCTCTTAATCACTCCACATATAGAACCCTCAACTTTGATCGGTGGAGGTGGTGCCCCATGCGGAGACAACAGGAGTGACACATTCCGAAATCCATTGTGTATTCGGGATAAATAGATGTGCGAAAACCAGGTGTGTGTGGTGTATTTAGTAAAAAGTGTGGTGTATTTAACAATTCCCTATATTTTATACTATTTCACTATAGCCAATATCCTTCATATTTAATGTGTGATATTTGACGCCAGAGTTTGAATTCTTCAAGACAGAGAAAATTATATCTGAGGGAGAAAATAGCTTTCAATTAGCGAGTTCTAATTAATTTATCATAACTGAGAAAGAAAAAAATTATTAAGGTGATTTATTATTAATTTGTTATAATTAATTTTTTTAACTGGTTTACCAGTTCCCTGATGTCATTAGTTCAATACTGAAGGTCTTTAGTTGTTTGATAATCTTAATAAATTTTTTCTTTCTCAGCTAGTTCAATTAGTTCAATACTAATGACATCCAGGGAACTGGTTTACCAGACTGACGGGCTGAGCAGAAAGAGAAACCATAGGTGGAATATTTGTGGCGTTATACAACATACCACATTGCATCAGAATGCCTCCCTTCCTCCCTCGAAGAAAGAGAACACTACCAAAGCACCAATGATCTTCATTGGAACTCGGATTGAATGCTAGTGTGAATCTATGTAACGAAGATCCGGGACCATGTTTGGACCATGTTCTATAGGATCGATCAGATTAGCTTGCCTCTTCGGGTGGTTGGAACTGGGAGAAAAGTCACTCAACTGCCCATGCCATATGGACCACAGCTTCTGGGCCACATCCAGAAAGCTGTTTGAATTCTGGCTCCAAACACAACGAGTCCCTTAGCTCAGGTCCCCCGGTTGATGCACTGCTGACTCTGTCGATCTGTTCCTTGTCTTACACCTGTGGTTCCTTGGTTGCCCTGAGGATCAGTAAAGGGAGAAACTTTGGAAGCTGGAACAACTGGTGTCATACGGATTCCATACTGGATTCCTGAAGATACAGCCGACAGTGTGACCATGAAGGAATCAAGACTCATATGCGTTACTTGCAGCTCATCTTAGGCAATGGAGCGGTTTCATGCATTCAGAGTTTGAGCATAGCGGTGGACAACGACAGGTCCACCTAGAACCAGAGAGAAAGCCCTTCCATTTTGGATGGATCATAGAAGGGCTTGGCTGCACTTTCGAGAAGCAATTAAAAAATCGGGTGTTTCGTGTGGATCGTTGATCACTATAGTACGTAGACAAACATATCAAGGATTCCATATATCATGCAGTGCAGGTTAACCTCTCTATCCTCTGCTGAAGGTGTAACATATTGGAAGGATAAACGACTTCCTCAATTTAGAATTGTCCTCGGGTTCGCATGACCCATGCACATGTTGTTCCCTTCTGCAAGCGGTACAGCTTGTCGGTGAAATGACCAGATAACAAGATTCATTGGGCTTCTACAATACAAATCGATTGAGACTGTGGAAAAAAAGAGGAAAACTAACTATACACGAGAATCGTTTATTGGTCTTACGCTGAATGAAGACCGAAAGAGTTGTTCCAATATTATGACATGAGAAGCGACAAGATATAAGTTGTTGGCCATAGCAATGATTTGGAATGTTATGTGGTGTTTTCTTTTGGTGCGATTCAAAATAACAATGCCAGTGTCAACTTAAAAAGTCAACTTACTAAGAAAAACTACCATTTAGTAAGCGAAAATCACAATGTGTTACTTCAGCTGATTGGTTTGTTTGTCATTAGGTCCTTTGCGTATAAGCATGATGGTGTGGTCAGGCATATAAGAACTGAACTCTTGTTATATATCCTCGGATGCTAAAGCCGATATTCGCAAACCAGCTTTGAATAAAGCTACTGACCAGCCCTTCATGTGCTTAAATCAGAAACTTCTTTGCTTGTAAAATTCCTCCAGTGCAGATTTTTTTTCTTCGATTACAAAGTGTGCCTGCTTTAGCCTGTTGCACATGTACAGCCCACGAAGAGGAACATGGTATCTTCCTAAGATATGCATTGTTGTTCAACTGTAACATTCCCTCCTAAAAGTCATCATCGGTGCTGTCATCTTCTGCAGTATCCTTGGGATCCAAACCATCCATATCCAAGAGTTCGTCATCACCTTCTTCCAAATCCTGGATACCCGAACAATTTAGCGGAGAATGTCCAAGTTTTTGTCCTGCTATTGTACTTAGCTGATGTCAATTCATACCTTGCAATCTGAAGCTTTGTAACTGAAACGCCTGATTAGTAAATAGAAGAGAATCTCTTACCCCAGATATATCCGATTCGTTTGGAGAGATTTGGTGGGTGCTAGGGGGTCCGGGTTTCGTATCATCCCCGTTCTTCACCTGGTCCCGATTTTTTGCGGAATTCACCTCCCTGCTCTGAGTGTTGGAAACTACTTGTCTGGGTGTTTCTGGTAACCGTTTGACATGATGGATCCATTCTGGAGGTGCCTGGAAATCAGAACGCATTGCGAACCAATTTGTCTTGATTGACCTTACCAAGCAGTTTGCACCTTCAGCTCAAAGTCTAACTTAGTTTCACGGAGAGATAGGAATGCTCATGTTGGTGTTCAACTTCTTGCGGTCGGAATACTGAAAGGAATATGAGATTGTTTGAGTTGTCAAAGGTTCGCTGAAAGTGTCGGTCACCTTTCTAATCATTCGATCATTTGTGTTTGCCGGTCGAGCTTCCACTTTCGCTCTGGGATCAAGAATTGATTTGAATGAGCTTCCATCGAACCATTTCCAGAATGTTGTCCCTTCCCCATCTGACTCTTCTGAGCTTCCCGCACTGACCATGGAACCATTCACCTCTTCTCCACGGAGTATACATAATTCCTGCCCTCAAATGAGATATCACCAGCCATCATGCACTTAAAATATTTGAAACAACAAGAAGAGGAGTTGTTTTGCCATGACGCTATCAGGTTATATATGCTGGGTTATACATACCTCTTCATGTAAGCGGCGCTGGAGACGGCGCATGCGGCGATCTGTATCCTCCAATTTTTCCTGTTCTGCAAGACGGTGTTCCTCCATTTGCGACTGTAGCCACTGCAGATTCCGGTGCTTCTCCGAGTACGTCACGAAAAGGTCATGCAAATCCTTTTGAAGAGCTTCGTATTTGTCCATATATGCAGGCCTGTCTCAGCGCATGACGACTATGCAACCTCACATCTCAAAATAAGCACAGAAGATAGTTCTAGAACGACTGGCAAATATCTATTTTGACTTCGACGCTTTTCTACAAAGTCGATCTTCTCAAAACTGGAGCCAGATCTGGTTCCTTATCGTATGTGCTCATTGTCCGCAACAGTTGATGAATATTTTGGGCAGAGGCAGCATAGCATAATGGTCAAGCAGAGGAGACAAGGAACGGACCGAACGTTGTGTAGAGTGGATAGTCTCTTTTCACTTCTTTCGAGTTCCAGTTTGCGCTTCTCGACTTTTGCCTCCATGGCCTTTTCATCCTTCTCAGAACTACTTTGCTCTTGTTCAGAAGCTGAGATACTTTCAAGCATTGCAGTTATTGCCTCTTTGAGACCACGTTCAATCTCATCCATATCAGTGTTGACCATCGTTGCCCTCGACCTGGCTTCCTGGTGCGAGCATGTACGCAAATTCTAGAGTCACGATCTATAACTTATTACCCTGACGAGGCCTGCCATACTATGCCATTACAGCCAAACAATGGAGCATTTTCGAATGATTCTCTCTTGAGCTTTTCATGTTTATATTTATGTGTTACGTTGAAGGGCGAACCTGTAAAGCAGGTTCAGTTTCCAGGACAGCGTAGAGGGAGGCACCACATCTTGTGATGTCACTAACTAGGAGCCTTGTAGTTTTCACATCAAAAGGCTTCAGAGATGGGCCGAAATCGGCACCTTCCTTCTGCACCCACAGTCCCCAGACGAAAAAATGCTGAATGGAATCTGGTGCCATGACGTTTTAGCCCTGCAGTGTTCAGAAAATGATGCAAGCTTCGGACTGATAGACGGGAATCACCTCATTGTTAGTAGCTGCCATTGTTGCATTGTGAAGCAGTTGAGCGACTTTCAGAAGTTCCTTTACAGCGTAGCCGTCTGCTGAGTATAAGCGTCTGAGGTTCAGTTTCAATCTGGGTCCTGAAAGCTGACAAACAGGGCAAGATAGTTAGTTACCGAGATCTCGGACTTCGAACAAATCATCATGCTTCATGTTCTTAACACCTTCCGATCCGGTCCCTGAATTCTAGAGAACTCGTGTAACTAACTTGCCATAAGTACATTTGAACACTTATGGACAAACATGCTCCCGTCCTTCGAAATCGGACAGTGTTTCACGAAATTATCTGCCTCCTTGTCCTGGTGCAACTGTTTCAAGTGCTTCAGGGCAGGTCAACAATTTTCCATCAATGCCATGTCTCTCAAAGCATAAACACCGACTTGATCCAAGGGCTTGGACAATTGTCTTGATACACTGCATTATTATGGACGAACGATGAAAGCACAGAATCACAGCTGCACTGCCGATTAGAAGCTAATAAATTATGTCCTAACCGGAAATGATCCGATCCATGTAAAGCAACAGGTCATGTTCTTTCAAAAGGTCCATACAGACCGTCATCAGCGACCTTACCACTAAATGGGTTGCACGCTTCAGAAAAGCTACACGTCGTGCTTCAACGGAAATGTCGGTGTCTAGATCGATTGTTGGATCATACCTGCTCAAAACCAACAGAAAATGAATGATAAGCGATCCGAATCCCAGAACGTCAATGAATCACTTTACATACTGCGAAGTAGTCACTTTTCCTCCTCTTCTACCTTCCACAGGCAACATTCCACACCACTGTCGGTAGTACTCGTTGGAAGGTTTGAACGTAGTGACTACACGAGGCGACCTCTCTTATGATGGACGATAGTCCGCCTTTCTTGCAAATTCAGATAGCTCATAAAGTTTTTGATCATCAGATTTGCGGACTTTGGTGAATTGATCATCTGCTCAAATAGACGAGAGTTGGTTGTATATGTTTAACGTCGTACCTCATCATAAGCCAGTGCAGGCAGTCTGCTACAAGCTCAAAATTTGGCTTTCGAAAACTGTCCATGGATATCGTATGAGAATAACCTAGGACTTTCATAATGGAGACAAATTCTGCGCACAAATCACACAAATGACCTTCTTATGTTATTTTAAGGCAGGCTCAGCTTATGGTGTGTCAAATAACAGCAGTTCATCAACCCGCCCTTTCTTCTTTGACCCCCACCCATGCAATGCAGCCCTACCGTGATATACATCACCTACCTCCGCATGAAATCCAGGGCTGCAGTCTCACAGCAAATAAAAACGAGAGGCAGGCTGCACATTTGTTTGTTGTTAGCAGTCCCTTCGTCGACCTTCATCGACTTCATCATTTCCAACGGTGAACCCTATCTCTGAAATCGGTTAATGAAACGAATGAGTGGGAGGCAGGCAAGAGATGACGTACTTCTGATGTCGATGAAAGACATGGTTAGATTACAATCTGCTCCGTCCCTCCCCAGCGTCCCGCCAGACTACTCAGCTGCCAACGATCGTTGCGATGCGAGAAGATGAGCCAAGTAAAATCCAAAAACTGATCGGCTCTTCGGTGGAATGCACCAGTACGAGCATCGGCAAACTTGACGAATCTCCTCAGATGAACGCATCGGCAAACTTGACGAATCTCCTCAGATGAACGAATACATGGCTGCTGGCGTCCGATGACGAATCGGTGAATCAGACAACATTGAGCTCCGCATCGAGCCGGAGGTTCTTGCCAGAGGTCAGCCGATGAGGAAGAAACTCGAAGAAGATCTGACGATGAAACTGAAATGTCACGATCACTAAGTGCACGATGGCGATGGCGATGGCGGGCTGTATCAAAACCCGGAGGTCGACGGGTGATCTCTCAGCAGGAGAGCCGCCTCGTCCCAACCCGACATCCGACGTCCGGCATACATGCCTCCGCGGGAAGCCCTCGTTGCGTTCAGTCACATATTCTTTTACTCCTCGTGTCCTTCTGCACTCAACCCCGAGAGCCTTCGGAGAGGGGGCCTTCGCATATCGGGGTACTGAGCGGTGTCGTTGTATCATCGACTGCTCTATCTATCTTTCGGGCGATTGTTACTGGATGAGTGTAAGTGATAGTTCGGTCACCTCAATGAATTCAGAAGCGAAGGTAGTAAAACATTGGAGTCGAACAAACTCATCCGTTCTCCTCACTACTTGCGGGGAGTGTGACAGAAAGTGACCTCCTTCGTGCGGTGAAAGAGGCGCAGCGACGTGCCCGTGTGCTCTGGGCTCATCCTCGGTGACGGATTCTACCTCCGAGTACCTCAGGTCGCAAATGGAGTACCGAATATGAGTTCGAGACTTGAGAATTTGGAGTCGGTATGAAGTTGAAAGGTCACTCAGTCGAAAAAGGGTTTGCTCCTTTCGTATGCTCGGCAACGGAGAAACGTCGATGGTTCTTTCTCGCACGAGTACTGTGTATTGTCTATCACACATTAAGCAATTGATGTAGCGTTTTGGATGTAGAGCTATTCAAACACCGGCCTTAGATATTATTCCAGAGATCGACCACCGTCCGAGTTGTGGAGGCTCCCTTATACGACAAGCATGTAATGGGATGAGTTTTTACACAGAAGGTGTGAATGAGTGAAGGTGATCATCATCAACAGCAATATCACTTCAAATCTTACACTCGACTCTTTTTCGTGCAATCCGTTGCTTGGTTCAGTATTGTTCTGTACTTTGCTCGTTGATGTTTCTGTTTTATTGGAAACCAGATGGAACCGTTACCGTAGTGCTGATGGATGAGAACATTGAGAATGTGAAATGTCAAACCTACCCAGGGCGTACGTATGTACAAGTACAGACTACAGAATCATATGAACCTGTGACGGGTTTGGTCGGAACCACATTGAGGAGAAATCAGTATTTTTTATTACATCGAAGCGCGAAACTGTCATCAGGATCTGCAGACCTATCGTGCAGGGCACGAAGATCTTCCTGTCTGGAACAATGTCACAGTTGCAATGTGACCATTTTTCATTACCTGCTACACGGTACGGATTCTTCAGTACACTCTTGAGATTATTGCACTTCGGTCATTAATTAGAAATCTAGGGATCATAAGCAACACTCCTCTTCAATCTTGATCATCTGCATCTTAGACTGCTTCCTTGGTTTTGACAGTCAAACGGAAATACTTTATTTTATCTGTAAACGAATAACGTATGAATCCACGAGCATGACGAAGGTTATGATTTCACCTCCAATGCTATGTCTCGGTAACCGTAGACAAATGTTGGCCCAAATGGATTAGTATCAGAGCCCTGTGTCTGAATAGCTGCTCTTCCTCCATCTCCCAGTATGTCCTGCAGGAGGACAGAAAGTTGAGAAACGAACGTCCCACGATATTGTGGCCGAAAGTCTTCTCTAACAATCTCTAATTGCTGGAACGAAGCTAACAAATAAAATCACAAAACATTGTGGGGCTTCTGATAGTGGACATTGAAGTCTGTGGATCACTCAATGAGATAAATCTGATTTCTCTTACCTGCACCTCAGACCACTTCGAAACAGAACTGATGCACCTGTTGGTAACGGTCTCTAGTGACTTCTTTTCAGATCCTGTATCCAAAGCTATATTTTACAAAGGCCCTTGTCATTAAAAAATTGTCAACTTTCAAGTACGACGAAGCCCATGTTGTTTCATAGTAACCAGATGAAGAAGAGGATTTCATCTGATTTTTAGCATGCATAGAGCAGTTTTCGAATGTTTCATAATCAATTATTAGATGACAGATATGAAGGTGTTTGTAGTAGTTCAATCAGAAAGTTATACCTGGAGGACAATGTATGAAGAAGTTGCACTTCATGTAGCAATTGAAGTCTGTGTGGCCGGGAAAGTTCGTATGGAGGATAAACTTTTTTATTCGATGTGTCTGCGACGATCCGTTCATCCGTAATTGGAATTCTTAATCAAAACTCCTGAACAAGCTTCGATTTTACGTGCTACGAGAATAGAATAAAAGTATCCGTATCTATAGAAACACTAAGTTCTCAACACGAGCAGAAATAAACTATCCTTGAAGCTTAGATGGGTTTATTGTTTGTATATATATTCTACTTATTGAACATTACACAGAATCGAACCCAACTTCCTTACACTTTCATATTGTTTAAGCAAACGTTCTGTGCATACGCACCTGCCCATCAAATAGGATATCCAGTCCTCTTGTGAAGTAGTTATAGAAGTAATCTCCACACAAAGCTGTCTGAGGACGAGGATCGGAAGCAGAATGTATGACCATGGGATCAATCTGAAGAAAAGATATTGATTTTTTTTTTATTAGTGATAGCTGAGCTAAAGGAGACAACATGTCCAATATCAATCACATGAAGCGCCTATTGATGACGACGGCCTACAACTCAGGACAATCTGATATTACTTACTACCCGATCACTTAATTGACAGACTGCATATCTGACGATTAAACTGACGAAGCAGACGCTACACAAAACATACAGAAATGTACCTGTTTCTTCTGTATGCAGCAAGGCCGGCCAAGTTGTGCCCAAACATCCTGTGCATTACATTTTCTCTTGTTAGCTAAGTGTAAATTTTGTCACTCGGAGTCACCACAATGCGTGATGTTGCAGGAATGAGAAGCAAATAAGCTTTAGATATAGGCTTAGTATGGCGTAGAAAAGCAGAGCAAACCTTAAGTTTTAAATTCCAACCTGTGGAGACGCCCCAAAGGCTAATCGCTGCCCATTTCCGTTGAAATGAATATCTTCGGCTGGCTGTGCGGAGAAAAACAAGCAGCCAGCGTCAAGCAGGTGATTCGCTTGCTTTCCTACGAAGATAAAGTACTTCAGCACCATGACTTGGACTAGTGAAACCCAACTTTAAAGGGTGGGCCGTGAAGAGTTTTGAAGATTATTCCTCGATCTAGAGCACGCCGAATACTATAATAATCCTGAGAAGCTTTCAAAAATATGAGTAGATTGACTGCAGGATGGGATGAAGGTGGGACCTTTGCATGAACCTCCTCCATATAAAGTCCTCCACCGGGCAACTGTGGTGCAGGAACTAGTTTAAAACTTCCACATACTTCACCCGTACTATCATAGATACAAGCCCGGGACATAACTGGAGTTGTACCATCTGGGAACTCCAGCGGCAGCTCTCCTGCTCATAACGATTTGAAGCCGGTTACAAGTGACAAAAGTTTACTGTGGACTTTGACATCTACTGCATTCCTTTATGTATGGTGTCTAGAGCAGAACACTTACCTTTGCGGTCCTGCCAGTAACTAATATGCTGCGGTGGTATAGGGAAAACAAAAGAGAGACCCTGCATGGGAAACATGCACATCAGAAACGTAAATGCAAAAGATATGAACTTCAATGATAAGAATATAAAGGTGACTACTGCTAGCGGGCTGGAATTAAACTATTTCTTAGTAAAGGTGGGCAGACCAGGTGTGTGACGCCAATTTAAGGTCGTGAAGAAGGGCTGTATATATAAAGACAACAAGACCAGACAGCTGTGATAAAGAGAGTAGATTTGGGAACTATTGTCAGAATTTAGTCCGCTCGATTTTCTACTCAACAAGTATCGAATTTATTCTAACAGAATACAAGGATCTAAGATGAGAAGTTCTCCCTTGAACTTCGTGAGATCTATTGCACGATATGTACTTCAGAACCGAAAGTTTAAGTGGATTGGGCTCACAGGATAGTTCAGATGATATATGCATCGCTTTAGATTGAACGTGCCAGGAAAAGTAGGTCCAAAAAGGGCATAAACAGCTACAAAAGTAGCAGGAGCATGAGGACCCCTGCAACGAAGTGTACACGGTACAATCCATAAAAATTATGATTCATCTTTAGGACAATCCACTTGCCATCAAAGCAAACTAGAGGAACATTCGGAATAACAAACTTAAGCAGCTGAGTGATAACAGCTTACGAATGGGTTAGTACCAGAAAGTATACTACATGCTGGGTTCCTGGACATGGGGTGGAGATTTACCCAATTGATGATGTAGCATAACGCATATGAAGAAGTTGAACATCATATACTTCTATAAGTCGAAGTCGCTGCAGAATCAAGTAGAGCCAAGCATCAACCTACAGAAGTAAGATATATATATATACCGATACTAAGCAAGCTTTCCGTGCTTATAATCTGAATTTCGGATGGAAGCTTGGAAATACCCACAAGAGGTACTCCCTTATATACATGGAGCACAAACTAAGAGTATCTGAAGATAACTGCTCATGTAGCGAATTTGCGAGAGCTCATGGGTTTGCAGAAGAGAACGAGTGGGTGCGTTTGCAAAGAAATTACCCAGGAATGTCACTTTGCGATCGGAATTAAGCCCAGACCGATGTAACGTGCATCATCAAAATGAAAAGCGCGGAGGGATTACTCAATATGAAACTTAGATCGTGATTTAATAACTGTAATCTGGGGTAAAGTCGACTGTGCCACAACGGTGCAAACACAATAGCGTGACTAAGTTCTAGTTTCATGGTCCAAAGAATCAGTTAGATTCTTTGGAGACCTAAGTAGATATATCCATTGGATTCGAGATGAATATCGTTCTTGTAATCGGTAGTGAGTGGCAGACACATTACGAAGCGTAGGTAGGGGTTGTAGATTGATTTCTTCTTTTCCAATTCTGGTCTTTGACAATGAAAATCCGTCACATCAAACTTGATTTGCAACAAAGAATAAAGTTATGTATAAGAATGAACATTTGAAGTACCTGAGAACGAGGCTCAAACCGAAGATGAAATCCATACTCAGGAAAGCTGAGAACCAGGTCCAAACTAAGTGGCTCCTGATGACCACCCATATCCATCACATTTTGCCTACTTAGTACCCAATTCCAAAGCAGTAGTGCTACTTTGAATAACGGATGAGATAGCTTTTGCCACAGGCGACCAACTATGCAATCTGCCTTCGCATCTCATCAATCTCATATGAAAATAAAGCATCGAAGTCTTGATTTGACAAAAAACATCTCTCCTCTGCATAAACTGCATATATTTCTTCAACAGGATATTCAGAGGGAGAGTAACATTCATGTAGAACCGATACGATTCCGTTCTAAGTTGTCATCCAATTTCCAAATTCCACTTAAGTTGTTACGTTAAAATGAGATTGTTAAATTGGTCCAGTATCTGTTGAATCAGCCCTCCAGGTTTGATAATATTGGACGGTCAGATGTAACTGTACAAACCTCTTCATTGTACTTGACATGAACGACGTCAAAAATAGATGAATGCTGGTCTACAAACGCCAATGCTTCGCACACTGGCATGCCTGAAGCCACATAAAAATTTGCGGAGGATTACGGTCAGGCTCGATATGGCAAGTTTGCAGAAGACAAAACGGCGCCTTGGATTTGCGTTTTGCAACATGGGTGAAGAAACTGACACGAGGGCTGTTATCGCCAGTTTCCACCAATCATTGTGGATATGAAAGATAGAGAAAAAGCTAGGAATCCACGCGCGCAATTCGAGAAGAGTAGTTGAGAAGCACAGATGAATTACACTGCGGAGAAAATGTACGTCACAAAGTCGGCTGAGGACCTTAATAGATTTGTAAAGTTGGACATAATGATAGAACTCTGAAAGGCTGAAACGCTGGTCTGACTAGTCTTCATCATAATCAAACTCTGAAAGGTGTGCGAGATCGGCTTATAGTCCGATCATCAAGCAGAGTGAAGAAGAAGAATTTATCAGAACCCAGCGGCGGAGGTCATCCATCGGACGGTGTGAAGCTTCGAACGCATGCAGGACTTCAAGAAAGACAGAAGGCCAGAGAAAAAGTGCACAAAACAGCCAGCGAATAGAGCCTGACAGACGCAGACAGTGCGCAAAAGACCAGGCCCTGCATGGATCGATCATAATGTTCCAAAAAGATCAGATAGCCAGAAAGGCTGCCGAGCAAATCCTCTCAAGAATTCCGAAGTGGGGACAGTCATGACACTGGCGGCACTCGATCGACGATCACGCACCAAGATTGAAAGCACCGAGGCCGGTGCCTGGTCGCAGGTCCAGCGTGAGGCCCTTCATGAGCAGTCCGCGGCCCGCGCCTCGCCTCGCCCCGGCGCGGCCCGAAGGCCAGGAAGAATGTTGTGCCGCCACTTTAGTGAGCTTTGGATTTGCCTGCCCTTCTGGACGGCCACCCTGGCTCGGTGGGTCCCACCCTCGAGTGCCGGTCGAACGTCGTGCCAGGCGTACGTCGTTGAACCCGTATCAAGAAGCGGAAGAACTGCGTAGATGGATCCACGTGATCCAGTATTTTTCACCCACTCCAGGGAATCTTTTCTTTTTACCATCAACGAGAGATATTTCGACTTGACTGCCAAGTACATTTGAGTAGCTGTGGCACAGAGCCGGGTCCATCGCTAGAGAGAGTAAGATTTCCCTTCTTTTTCTTGTGACTTTGGGCTACGCTTCATTCGGCCTCTCGTGTCTTCAGGGCTTGCTCTATTTATTCATGTGTTTTTGCCGTCTACTTTTCACCCTTTCCCAGCCTTTTGTCTCCTTATGCCCAGAAGTTAAAAGGCAAACATGAGGGAGGAACATGAATGACAAGTCTGGAGGTTGAACTTTCTGAAAGATCTGCCAGGGGCGAGAGAAGTGTTGATTCCATTCATCTTTCTATTTGTTCCGCATCTTCTATCAGAAGATTTGTCGAGGGCTATCAAACTACATAATATCTTGTGTCATCTTAGTGTGCTATCTGTGGAACGCTGCAACCCAAAAACAAAAAGAAATACCGTTTTTTTTTTTTGTTTCTCACGTTATCTCGATCTCAGATAATCAGGGAAGTGTGGAGAGAATTCATAATTTTAATACACATCCGATGGATTCGTTGCAAATGGTTTCCATAGACAGTGTAGATTTTTTAGTTTCAACAATGCACGGATGATTCTAAAAGAAACTACGTTCACACAACTCACATGTGCAATCACTTCAACGAGATGAACAATTTGTAACACAAAATAATTGTATTGTATGGACACATGATCCGTTTACAAACATTGTTGGATTACTATGTATGGGTCAGCTTTCCCACAACGTCCTTGGACGACGAGGAAAAATCGGCCAATCAGTTACAAAGTTACGTACCTTTAACAATACAACTAAAAATATGTCTAAGGAATATATACACCTCAAGCTACGGTTACAGGTACGTATGTGGATTTTACACGCTGCTGTGTGAGCCCGCAACGAGGCTAGATTTGATGATGGTTCTGGTTCTGATTCGGAGAAGACCAATTCTCAGACTGCTGCTCCTTGACCGACGCTGTGCCCGCGAGCTTCAATGATGCCATCAAGCCTCTGTCTTCCAGTTTCTTCTGGCTGAATGCAAGGGAATGCGCTACCTGGGCCCAGGCTCGCTGATGATCAGATAGATGGTCGATGAACGATGGTTCACTGGGGGGATCACAAATCACGAATGAGTTCTGTCGTGCTCCAGGTTCTTGGATTTCTTGGACTTGGCAGTCCAGACGGTTCGGCCCCGGACAATTTCGTCACTGTTGGACTGCTTGCGGAGCAGATGAGTGTACTGGAGAGTCGACGATTGTAACTCGCTGCCCTGCTGCTGCTGCTGCTCTCGATCCGAGGAATTTGGTATTATTTGGGATGTCTTATTTGAGCCGCTGGGTATCGCAGTTCCATCAATGTGGTGACAGGATTGGACTCGGTTTTCTTGATATGGATGCATGTTGCCGACGACAGCCGTCGAGTTTGTGAGAGACTCCACGATATCCTCCAATTGGCACTCTCGTCTATATTCCAGCGTGACGGTGCTCAATTCATGGGTCTCCGATGTCGAGGGAGGCACGCTCTGCAAGCTCAATGACATGTGGAACATACATCATGTCTTTAAAAAGGATCAGAAAACTAACTACAAATATTATTCGATAACGCAACTGAAGTATGTAGAATTTTACCCTTTCAGCACTAACTCTAGCTGAGAACCTCATGGAAGACTGAACTGAGGAATCTATACACAGCGGTAAAGCAGTGGACTTATTTATTGTAGATCGACCGTAACCTTACCTCCATCACCCATCGCATGTACTTGACATTGTTGATATGTTTATTCACGTCCAGGTCGTTCCTGCAGGACTGTGAGATAAATATGTAAATGTCATGACATCAACAACTTACTGAAGAGCAACTTCATAAACTAAACGTTCGCAGCTTTGTAAGAGCTTTGCAGTAACCGGCTATTGTTCAGACTCACAGTCAAGTTCAACTTGATGTAATCTGCTGTGTCATCCAGCTTGGATATTCGATCGAAGACCCCTTCATGCAGAGCACATCGTTCGATGAAGACTGGCGTGATTTCATCTCTGACTACGTCTGGAAGCTTCGCTAGTCTTCGAGTGTCTTCGTGCATCAAAGCCCACGTGCTGTAGGAAAACAAATGACGGCTCATATCTCAGTACGAAGCAGGACTTGAGAAACTTATCAGAGAATTTAATAAACACGTGGGTCTTACAGCTTGAAACTTTTTAAATGGGTGGTGTAGTGCTTCCCTACTCCCACCTGAAGAAACAAGTATCGACTTGAGCACTATCAGAAATGCTACGATAGAATAACTAAATCTTAAAGCTCGAACTTGCGTTGAGAGATACTCAGCCACTTGCATCGTACCTGGTAGCTCTCGCAATGACGTGTCCCGTTGAATATTCCCGCAATAGCCAATCTCTGCGCATACCATTCTTGCCAGATTTTGCCACCCAAGAATCTATCTCCACTGCCTCGGGCCTGCATTTAAATATTCCAGATGCTTAGAAAGTTCCCCGAGCACTCAGTCTGACTTCACTATAAGAGTCTGCGCATTTCTTTTCAGTTCATTCAGAACAGTAAGAAGAGTAGAACCTTGCTCAAACACTTCACTTGTTTTCTTGGGATATATTTGCCTCACGTAGACTTCTCAGTGTATCGTCATTGTCGTCCATGTTCACCCTTTTAATTTCATTCTGAACAAGGTTCATTCTGCCTCCAGAAAGCTGAACTGCAGTGGCTGAAGGAACGTGGTCGGACTCCAAACAGACTTGACCTTGTAACGGAGTATTTTAAGAAGCAGATTGCCAGCTAGAGATTGTACTAGAGCTCTTTCGAAATCTGTCAACAATTTACACCAAATTTCCAACTCTAACCCTGCGAACAATCAACGTTGAGGAACGAAACAGACTATCTGTTGCAGCCATTGTTTTCCGACCCAGAGTGCACGGGTACACTGTTCAGATGTCGTTCTTGAGTTTGATAATGGAATTCAGCATACATTCAGGAGTGTGACTTTTACCATGCGGGGTAGCGGTCAACCTCAACATGCAGACGTGTGATGACCCAGATCAACCGATTTTCGTTCATCCCCTTCGTGGCACCAAACCCAGTTCCACTTATTCCGAGAAGCGACACATGATTCAGAGCAACCTCCTGCATGAACCCGTCCATAAACGGTGAGGAATCTCTGGATTACGTTCCCTCTCTCAAAAATCGTGGATTTCACGGCATACATTTGGTCAGTCAAGGAGCGCAACGCGATTTTCTCTACGACCTACACCCGTACTCAACCGACACATTGACGTCGTCGGACTTCGCAGTCTTCTCATCTCGTACCTGGAATAGACTCAAGATTGTATCCACAGATGTCCTCCCCTCCGCGTTGACTTCATACGAGCGGATAACACAAGTTTGTCGGAAAATTTGGCTGTCGCCCAGGATCCGTCCTTGCCTCAGAGCAGCCAACGTCTCAAGCTGCCGGCGGATGCGAATGTCCTCCTTTTTGTCGTAAGATAACGAATTGCCACAACTAGCGGTAACCTGATCATCAGCTCCCAGGTTCAAGTTGGAAACCGATCCGTCTCGTGACAAACCGAAGTCCTCCTCTCCGACGGTTTTGTCTCGACAGATATCAACCGGTTTGTTGTTGGTGTTGCCGCCATGCTGGCTTTCGCGGACACTCAGCGCATTCAGTTTAGAACTCAATTGCCTTAGGTTTGCAGTCGTTGTTTCGCCCGCAGCGAATGTCGGGATCCGGCATTGATCTCTCTCGATGCTCGAAGGAACGGGTAGTTTACACAACACTAGAGCGGAATTCGACGAACTACGGTGGAACCTACCCGCAGAAGCGCTGGCGCAGACGCTCATCAGGCCAAGACTTGCCATGGCGTTCTACGGTGGTAGTATCGTTGCACTCACGCCCCAAGAAGGTAGAATGCGAGAAATCGTTAGACTGCGTTGCTGGACCCGTCAATCCTACGTCAAATCCCTGCGCACCCAATGCCCCACAAGAGTGCTCCGCAGTGGCAGCCTTGACGATTTGTCTCCGTCAATTGGGATGCGCTCGTTATGTTGACCCGGGGCCTCGGTTCGAGCATCCACTGGCATTATTCAACAACCGAGAGCAGGCCACTTATACGGCATCAGAGCGGCCCGAATCGCTGCTTCTTCGTCACGGAGCATCGCTTACGCAGCGGAGGGCCCAGCGGGATTCCAAGCGACTGCCATTACGAGACAAAACCTCGTCGCCCACAAGCTCAAACGCCAGTTGACCGCGACGCAGGGCCGTCTCTCCCACACTCGCCGGAATAAAGAAAATCCGCCAAAGCGCAAATGTCAACCACTGCGGGTCGACAATTAATTCATCATCGCAACTCAACAACTACGACGCGACTAAAGCCGTTTCCATTATTTACCAACTGCACGTTCGATGCAGGCCCTGGGTTCGGGATGCACTATCCACAGACAATTCGCCGGTACAACTGCCGACTTAAGTCGCGAATCGCTAATTACTCGGAAAGGTGCACGGCTCGCAGTCTGCAGAGAGTCTGCAGCAGATGTGTTTGTCCCAGACCTCTAAATGCAGTTGACTGGTCGACGACGAGCTCTCGATCGCTTTCGATCGATGCGGGCGCGACCAACAATGCCACTCGAAAGTGCCCCGAGCCTCAGAGTTCCATTATCGGCGCCTCGAGCTTTCTTTCTCTTGTCTGCCTGCTCGGGGCTTTACACCTGGAGCCCGGCTGGGGATGCAACCGACTATCGGTCCCTGACCTTAGCAAAGATTTCCAATGGCTGTGCTCGTCGACGCCGCTCGTCGAGGCTCGTCGGTTCCTCCAAGATTCGGCTTTGCTGTTGAGCTCGGCGACCGGTACCCGACCCCATTTCTTAAACCCAGAGGCAGGACGTCTTTCGGCCTCGCCCGAGCGAATGAATGAATGAATGACTGGCGTCGCGAGGCGGCCACGTTCGCCGATCGACGCTTTGCGAATCATTTGACGAGAGCTGCGAGTAAATACGACCATGGAAACATTCCATGCTTAGCGATTGGCATATCCCCGTTGTGGACAAACAAACAAGTGCAGATTTTCTAGTGTAGAACTCGTTAGTGCACGTGTCAATCTTATATGCACCATTTATTGTATTTCGGATACAAACTCTGTAAATTCATTATTTTGATGTGAACCCAAAAACTAGTTATAATGCTTCTAGACATGTATTGAAAATATATACACTGTTCATATTTGTATGTATTTAGACAATACTGGCTATGCATCACATGAAGTCTTATATTAGTCTGTTTGCAATAATCGTGTGTATGGGTTTCACCCAGACATTCTCAATACGAGAAGAAGTAAATGGTGGGCATCAAAAGACGCTGTAAGCAGTTTTATTCGTTTGTAGCAATAATTTGAGGACAAATTCTTGTTACAAGGGATGATCAAATCCATGAAGAGAAAATAAAGAGATTGATACTGGCAGCCGCATATATTCTAGACCTTTAAAGTGGCCATAAAAAACTCAAAAATACTCATGTCTTATATATGACAACAAAGCATCTCTAATATGACATACTATACAAGAGCATGAAAGAAACACACCTTTTTTTACATGAAACCATCTTAAGTATAGGCTTACCAAAATCACAAATCTGAATTTATATACCCTTCACACAAGATTGAAAAGATCTTATTCTTAATGCCAGCTCATGTATCATACAATCATATTCAAGGTATGATGATGATACTAAAGATGCTCATAATGCTTGTACAAGAGAAAAATAATCCAACTGCTACCTAAAGAATATCAAAAACATAAATTCATTCAATCATGTGTTGTACATGTTGTGTGAATATGTATCGTCATACAATCTATATCGCTGACATGGCACACTCACATCAGATTACATCATGGCTATTTCACATCTTGGAGACTACACGTAGAAGCTAGCGGGACATCATAGCCAACCTACGGCAAGTTACTCCAACGCTCAAAGGTTCAACAGGAAGAATTGACATTTCTTCAAGTAAGCGCGACTATACTTTCCAACGGGAGTGAAACTAACCTAGGTTCTACATAAAATTAACTCAACTAGAGTTAATTCTAACTCGATGCTAATTACAGAGAACACATATACACATGACATACATGTTTGTCATTTTGTCTATATAAATTGAATTAAGTGTTCAAATCCTACTAGCATTGTAAGAATGTTTGTGTAGTACATTCATGTCATAAATACATATGGGAGGTAACATGAGTTTGAAGCACAAAAAAGATTTTAGCTTATGTTTTGTTATCTTTAATTCTTGAGACTAAGAGTCCAAAAGTAAAATACATATTCAAGTTCATCTATAAGTTTCTCCTTGTATCCATCTAGGATGAATAAGTATTGCAAAGATTTATAGCATGATGAATTTAGTACAGTAATCTCCTTGTTAAGTACGCAAATTGATTCTTGGAGGATTTTGTGTATTTACCTGGTAGATGCGAAGCTAAAAGATTTACTTAAGGACAAACAAGTACTTGTCACTATTAAACAGGTGTAATAAAAGATAATCGAGTATCTAGTAGACGTGTTAGTTAGCTCAAAACTAGATATTTTTGCCACCTAAATCAACTGTCTCGGCGAATTAAAGTCAAGCTGTTATTTTTGCGACAAAATATTTGTACTTCTGAACAAAATATATGTGATTTCATGGACACCTTTGTGTCTCATTGCTATCGCACACTATTTGAATTAACTTGGCTTATCAAAGGTTGGTGATTCGGTTCTTAAGGGGTTGTCAGTTTCATTGTTTTTCGTTGCATCGATTACGGTTGCAGGTTAGTTTGGTGCAGTGAAGTTTGTTCAGTGAAAACAAGGATGCTATTTCAATAAATTTTCCTTCACATTTGTATTCATCGTGTCGAGAGTTCAAACGATTCTTTTGTCGCTATCAAATAAATCTATTGGAGTTGATTAATATCAAGTGCAATGTTAAAGAAATGTATTGTTCAACGACTCAATGAGTTACAACAATGCAAAATTATCAAGAAGCTGAGGAGTAAGTATGCTCCTTGTAAAAGATCGTTAGCGCGTTATTACAATATAACTGAGGGACCAATCAGGCAAGTGTGAGACAAAGGATATAAAATTTTACAACAATCTGCTTTCATGTGTGATCAAACTAAAGAGAAGATTTTCCAATCCTCTGCTGGTCATTTTCCTTAGCTTAAAAACATGCTATATATATGGATCGATAGCATGCGTCGTGTCAATCGTCTTATTACTCCATCTCTTGCCATTGCTAAAGCAAAGAATATTGCATCAAGTTTATTAATTCCTGAAAGTGATTTCAAGGCATTTTGTTAATGGTTAAGTAATTTTAGAAAGTGCTACAAAAGATGTTACTTCACGGAGAGTGTACTGAAATCAAAAAATTTGATATTGTATTGCTAACAGTTTTAGACTGACTCTATGCAATTATAGCTCAATATGATACTCAAAACATGTACAATATGGACAAGATTGGTTTGGTTTTTTTTCTTACTATCAAGATAAAGTAATCTTATGTCAAATAAAGACATAACAACAACCAGAGTTAAAGAAAAATCCAAGGATCAAATTTCTCTTATTGTCTGTGCCAACGCTGTGGAAACTCAAAAAATACTTTGCACATTGATAGGCAAACCAAAAGCACCCGCTTGTATTAAGTATCATCAATGTCTTGTTCCACACATCAGTCATATGAAAGCTTAGATGGATGTTAAGACATGTAGGAAGTGGTTCAACGAAATGTTTTTTCCAGAGGTGGAAAAACGAATCCGACATCGGGTTCTTTTGCTGATGGACAATGCCCCGTAACATTTTGAGTATTTTGAACGCGACAATATTAGTATCATTTTTTTTCTTGCAAATTGCACAAGCTGGAAACAGCTTTTGCGATATAGGCATGAAGCTTTGAAAAAAAGGTTCAAATATCTCTATCTTAAGTATGTTTTTGACTTTTATGAAATGAACAAGGAGACAAAGCATCAACTGAAAACGCAAGAACATAGATTGAAATGTGGTGCTGCAAGAGTTGCATACGGAAATCCAACTTACTTGCTTGATGCTACAAATTATATCAAAGAAGCTTGGCAATCTGTGTCATGGAGCTCTATCAAAAATTCATTTGTGAAGGCAGATCTAATAAAATTGGAAGCTGACAAGTAAGGAGTGAACTAAATGGAGGATTTAGTGACCGAAGCTACACAAGCTATTGCAGCTTTAAATCTTTCAGTTAGGCAAGAAGAGATTGAAGAATTTCATTCACGTCAATAATGAAACCAATGAAGTATTTACTGTTAAAGCTTTTGACAGCGTTGAAGAACTTTTGAGTACTATGAAGATTGAGGATAAAATTGATGATGATTATCCAGATTCAGATTTGAATTTAGGAAAAAGCGTTGCATTTAAAGGTTTTGAATCACTTTGTAAGCAAGTTGTTGATATAGTAGATAAGTTGTTTTGTGAAGAAGTTCAGATAGAGTCAAACGACCAATTTGATGATATTAGACAGTTATTTGAAGCATTTCTTAGCAAATTTTGTGCTGTCACTTTGAAAGCGAAACACAAAGAAGCTCAAAACTTGCGTCATATGATTATTCATGCATATTAAACTAAATGAAGTTGATCAGTTTTTTTTTCCAAAAAAAATTGCGTAGTTATCCGGGATGCGTACTTAACGCGGAGATTACTGTAACTAGAAAATTTTTATATGAAAGTTATATCGATTTCCAAAGTTAAATAGAATATTTGAGAATAACTAAAAATTTTGAAAATTTGAAAGCTAAATCCAAAAAACAATAATGAGATTTGCTAGAAATTCATCACCCTCCCTTCTTGGATTTTACTCAAGTCAAGTGATATAAATTTTGGAAGTTTATGGAATATTCATTTGAGATAATAGTTAATGAAAGATCTTAACTTCTTGATGCATGCCGATAATGATAGAAAAATAAAAATGCTTTAATATCCTACAATTACAGTGTAATCTATTGTGATAACTTCACATGCTATTATGTAGGAATTTGTTAAAGGTGAGTATAGGATTAAAGAAATAACAACACAAAAACGAGTTGAAATTATCATCTCTTTTCATTGCTTTTATATATATATATAGCAAAAAGTTCATTAACACCTGAAAAAGTAACAAATTGATCAACCGGTTGCATCTGAGTCAACCACATGAAATAGCTATACGAAAGAAGGACAAATTATCTATAAATAATATCGAATTAATCTTATGACAAGTTGTTATATGATGATGATGAGTATGTGCGGGAAAAACAAACACAAAAAAACTAATTTACACATAGACTTACTATGATTAATAATTCAAGATTTTAAATATTCGATCTTGCTCATAGATGGATACATAAGACTTACATATGAGGTATTTTACTACTTAAAACTAATCATGATAAGATATTAAGGAATTGTGTTATTTAGCTATACTTTTGAAATTTACAAAAAATTCTTCACCATAGCAATGAAGTAAACTCTTAAGTATCGGGTGTACTCAAGTATAACAGAGATCTCATTGTGGAAGTAAGAGAAACAAAAATAGAAGTCATGCTGATTCATTCATGAAATATAATGTGGATTGATCAAGTGGTACAAATCTTGTCTTATAATCTAGGACACAAAACAGACCGAGTAATAAACTTGGATATGAGATGAAGCCATCCAAAAGCATCAAAATTAGACATGATTGATGCTAATCACTGTCACAACATGATCTACATTTCAAAATTGATTTACTAAGGCACTAATATATAGCTTGTGTGCCCAAGATCCTTCATGTTGTGCTAACTTATCAAGCCATAAGCAAACTTTGTGTTTAGTTTGATCATAAAGTGCACATCTAAGCT